AACTAACTGCTGGCTTATGTCCCGCTTATGTATTTTGCTCGACAAGCTCTGAGCTAAAGATATACCGACTATTATACGGTACTTTCTGATATTGTGGAGCTTATACAGCAGGTTATGTGATGTTGGATTTAGAAAAGTAGCTCGAAAACTGTATGTTTATTAATATTTAAACAAGAAACTTAGCCAAATATACGAGGCGTATACAGCTCAGGTGATTAATGGACCAGCTCGCACTGCAGCTTAACTTTGCGTTTGAGTGCGGGCTCCCCCAAAGTCCTCAAATGCGGCCGGAAGATTCGTGTTTCATTGAGCTCACCAGTCGAAGTCCCTCGCACTTCTAGATTTTGGGCAGATATTCAGCCACATTAATGGCCGAATTGTAAGTTCTTGCAAACGGCGAATCTGTAAAACGTACGGGACAAAAGCGGCTTTGAAGGCGCCGCAGATACTAGAGAACGGCCTGACTCGGAGCGGCGAGCATCTAGTAAATTCGCTTGATTTTCTGTTTCTCTCGTCGGGTCTTCAAGCTGTATGAGGCCATTTTCCCGCCTATAAACGAGAATATATCATGATATATGCTGATTGCATATTGCATAATCCAGAAAGAGGCGCTTGGCATATGGTATAACGGCCAAAATTCCGGCTGGCATATGGCATATCAAAGTCGAAATATGCATGGTCCGGGGCCCGGCCAATTGAGCCGTTACCCCTGACAATACGCTGATTGTTGAGACCTAGTTTAGGGTCCGACCAGCGCCGGCGCAAAATTTCCTCACGGACCCCGGCCGAGCCCTAAAATTCTCAGGGTCCGCCCAGTATCGATCGGGAAGTTCAGGGGTGATTTGGCGTCCGTACGGCCGGTTCAGGGGGTGAACTTTTCTCACAGTGAAATGGTCCGTCAAATTTTGAATGTCAATAATGAGCCGTCGTCATCGACTCGTGAACGACGTCCAGAGTGCCCGAGTTTCGACTCTCTATGATGGATTAAACAGAGTTTTTGAGGTAACGTCCACCGACGATACAAGTTGTCTGACGCCAGCGCCCCAATATCGAAATTGCAGAAGGACTGGCTTGAAGCTGAGCTGCATAATGTACAATGTGCAGGCAGCTAACCGTGGGGTTGTACAGAGGGTCACAAGTATTTTGCTGACGTTTTAAATAGATTGAACTTGACCTTGTTTGCCCGAGGTGGCAACTCCCTGGTTTTAAACATGGTATCTGCGAACCAAAACAGGGAGTTTTAAGATTTTGCATTTTAAAACGCCTTTTTAAAAGGTTTAAAAACGGTTTAAAAAAATGAGAGAGTGCAAGTTTTTTCGCGTTTTTATAGCGGATATCAACGTGCCACCCCGGGGTGGCAACTCCCGTTTGAAAACATGTCATGTGCGGAGTAAAACACCCCGTTTGGCTTGCTTCGACCGTTTTAAAACTGTTTTAAAACGTTTTAAAATGGTTGAAAAACGCCCCAAAGACGTTTTGTTTACGTTTTATAGGCTTTTCTTGGTTTTCGTGCACATATTACATCCATCCAGATTGAAAGCAATTAGCTTATCGCAAATAAAACCCCAATATGTTACGCTGAAGGGTTTTTAAAACGTTTTAGTTGTTTTGCTGTTTTTAAAACAGGGATATTTTGAACCTCATCTTGGACGCACATGTCTTGCGGCTGTTTTAGCTGTTTTATTCTGTTTTAAAGTTGTTTTAAAATTCAAGGGGGGGTCATTTTTAAAAATATGGGGTGTTTTGGGAGCCTCTTGACGAGCTCTATCCGTTGGTTATGAATAAAACCTCAACGCTTTTGATTTTGTGCGGTTTTTACGAAATAAGATGAATAAAACACGGGGTGTTTAAAACTTGAGTTGCCACCTCGTGCGTGCCACAAACTTTTATGCAAAGGAGAAGCAACCATGTGTTCAATTCTTGGCCAAACAGGGCCATAAGATGTTGGATTATGTCACTTGCCCCGTTTTAAACGTTTTACTGTTTTGTTTGTTTTATAAAACGAGTTTTCCAAGGGTTCGCCCAACACGCAGATAAGTACATGTTGTAAGATTTTGGCGTTTTAATACGTTTTGAAACCGTTTTACTTCTATGAGAGGGGGTCCAAATTCGAAAACAAGAAGTGATTTGGAAACGACGGAACAACAGCTACATAGCGATGGCATGAAAAACGCCGACTATGTTTGTTTTCAAGTGTTCTATGTTAAGGCCACCAAAAAACAATTAATGTCTGTTTTAAAACTGGAGTTGCCACCTCCGGCTTGTTTGTTTGGAACCAGGCTGGTTTGCAAACTCCCGGTTCGGCTGGTTCGTGCCGGCCCGCTTCCGGGTACGTGGAAGTGCGCGTCAGCCTTCGTTCAACCGGTCCCTTAAACCACCACCCAGACTTTATAATTGGGCAAATTAAAATGCTGACGTGGCATAACTTGCCAACGGTCGTCGAGATCGTGTAATTCAAACTGCGACTCTGGGGCGCATGTTCTTGAACACTCAAAATGGTGGCCCCTCCACCTGGAATCTGTATCACACCTTCACCAAATCCGGCAGTGTCAAGCCTGGTCGCTAAGAACAGGCCCCGTTGGGACGCCCTCCCTTTTCCAGCTCTTGAAACCGTCAAAAACAGAGCCTGTAGGCCCTACAAAGCTTTTCTTAGCTTATAGGAGCTATCTTTGGTGGTTTTGAGAGCTGAAAAGCTTGGCGCCTTTCCTGCAAAGCCTCTTTGGGGCGACTAGGCTTGGCACTGCCTAGTCCGAGTCGGAAAGCATGTTCTGGATATGCTCAAAGCTGGAAAAGAGCCATTTTCAAGTGCTTAATGTGTGCGCCCCATGAGGAGAACTTGAAGTTCAAGTTCTGAAGTTGGCCCGCATCCCGGCCGGTATTTAAAGGGTGGGTGGTGGTTTAATCGTTGCCTGCATATAGATATTGTACGGCTCAAAAATTGCGGGCCGATCCGAGGGTCCCGTGGCCCCCGAGGGCCGAGGCCAGCTTCTGGCCAGCTGAGCCCACGGCCCACGGTCCAGACGGTCCACCCTCCTGGAAGACGGCACGAAGGCCGGTAGTCTCGTAGATACTCAGGCTCCCATTGCTGATCGCCGAGGTACACGGTGACTGCCAGTGCATGCCCGGCTGCATGGCAGGATCCAGAAAACCTAGCTGCAGACCGGTCAGGCTAGCGGCCGCCTTATAGCTAGGACATAGATTTTGATACCAATGATCAATATACTTGAAAATCAAATCATAGCATATATATTAGACACCGGACCACAAAGAGGTGAAGTCGAGGGGATCGGAGCCCGGGGTGGCAGCTCCGTGGATGAAAAACATTGCAATACATCTTAATAAATGCAAATATCGTCAAGAGTCCGAGTAAATAGTCCAATTTTGTTTGCACCATCGCATCCGCCTCGTCGAGCTGAGCACATATCACCACTTTCATTTGAATTTTGTTGGGGTATATTTATTCGATTTATTCAATCGGAAATTACCAAATACTTCCAATAGCAGGGTGCCAGCACGGATATGCCAGGATTTTGCCCAGAATATATTCAATATTATTCAATATAATGTAAACAAAATACAGATATTGGCCGGTATCTTGATTTATTCAGTATATAGAATAGTTCAGGAGTGTAAAACCGTGAAAAGCAAGCTTTCATATCGAATATATCCAAAATATCGAATATATTTCTTGATAGATATATCGCAAAAGCAAGCCCTCCGATCGCCTAGGATTCTGGCGGGTACCACAGATTATCCAGATCACGCTGCCACTCCGGGGATTGGAGCGGGAATGGAGATTTCCGAGTTGACGAGCCCCCCTCCGGCCCAGCACATGGGTCATAGGCATTAGTGCTAGCCTGCGGGCTGGATTGCATGGTGTTACTTGAACTGTTGAACGGCGCCGCTGCGGCGGCCCTTGCCTTTGTTTTTAAGAAGTTGAGGATCACCGAGGCTTGCAGCCCAACCAAGATCGATTGGGTAGATTTCAAGTTGGGGCATCGTATCTATTGTATATGATTTCTTGAACGTATTCGTGATATGGTCCTGGCATGGCACCAGCGGAAGAGTGGGTGCCAATGCACTCAAGCTCGCTCGGTTACAACAGCCTCCCCATTCATAAATACCTTTCTCCGGAATGTTCTGGGGCGGGGGGCTTGGTACGAGTGGCCGAGGATGATATTGGGACAAAGCCACTTTGTGGCAGAATATGACCAAGTGCCCCTGAGGGCCAGATCGAGACTCATTCAAGTTGAGCTTGTTCCCGTTGTCCAGTGGAGATAGCAGCACAGACAGTTTGCAGCAGTGCCATACTGTACTTTTGCACTGACAGTTTATTCTGATTGTGTACTAGATCGAGTCTAGTTTCCAGCTCTTTGCATTCATGTTCATAATCTCTTCAGCATGCTGCATGTGACCTCTTATTCTCATTCTTCCGCCCTTGATCTCCGTATTTTTGTCACAGTGGACATGCCTCATGTTTTGAAAGTTACTGCTGAAGCTTCTAGTCAGCAGTGGATACGCTTAGCAGGCGTACAACAAATACTTATGCCGGCTATATGCGGTTAGTAACAGAGCTCGAGTTACCCTGCATAAACTTGTTCGCACTGCAACTAGCGCGCATATGGTTGTTCTGCCTTAACCTTTGGGTTATGTCAGTCATGATACTACCAATGAATCTCTACTTTTAAGAATGGACTGATCCAGTGCTGTTCTGCTCTGTATATAGGAACATTGAGCAGCATTGTCGGTTTGCCGGGCGGCCGTGGAACCAGTCCATGCACCTCGGTAATACCTTCATACTTGGAGAGGGGTAGCTGATGTGGGGAGAGTAACTCGGCCCCGCTCTGGACACATTTAAGGAGGTTGAGGGATGTGATCCTGGGGATATTCAGAACGTGCCAACGGGTCACGAAAAGATCAGGAAAGCCCTTGTGAGCGACAGAATACTGGTGGTGCTGGATGACGTGTGGCCGAGCGACGAGGGAAAGCTTCCAGTGACGATGGGGGTTCTGGGAGAGAGATGTAGGTTATTGATCACCGCCAGGGAGGTCGCTGAGGACGGCAGCCGATGCCACAAACTGGAGTGTCTTTACCCTCCAGCCGCCGCCGAGGTATTCGATGCTTATGCTCGAGAGGCGGCGAAACCGGAAGATGCGGCATACGGCGAGATCCCCAAGGACGATAGAAATGAGTTGATCCAACACTGTGGAGGGCTGCCGCTGGCTCTCAAGGTGTTGGGAAGCATGACGGGTGAGGCGTGCAGGGACATGCACGACTGGGAAAGGTTTTTGGGCAAGGCTCGTCGTCGTCTACAGGACAATCTAGGCGTGCTGCACTTCAGTCTCGATTACCTGAGGCAAAAGGAGAGAAAATTGTGGGAGGCATTTGTCCTGCTGGCCGATCTTTGGGATTCCTTTTCGCACGATAGGGCTGCGTTGGGATGTTGGTTGGATGCCATCTTCGAGGGAAAGTCCGAGGAGATCTTCTTCGAACTGGGCAGAAGGTTCTTGCTGACCGTCATTGATCGGGACGTCATCATCCATGACCTGTTCAGGGAGGCGGCAAAGGGAAAGGACGACGGAGACTCCACCGCATGTAGGCCGATGCAGGAAGGGTACTCGCGGTTGTTGCTCAAGGGATATAGGGGCGACTTCGACCACCAACACCTGGCAGCCAGGGACGAATCCCTCGAACCAGTCAGGGGGGGCCGGCTTGTCCGATCGGTGGCTCTGCGCGACACGGATCTGGGGATGTTCCAAGTGTCTCCCATGAGGGCCGTCCGACTTCTTATAGCACTAAGGTGTAGGGGTAATCTCTTGCCGGACGAAGCCTAAACCGAAGGGGTTGGAAATTTGGTCTGTCTTTGGATCTCTGAAGCTGAAATTACGGCCCTCCCCAGCCTGGTCGCTTTCACCGCCCTCCGTACCCTTTACCTGGACCATTGCGCTGGGCTGACGAGCCTGCCGGAGTCGGTCGGGCGGCTGACGCGGCTGACGAACCTGGACCTGAGCGGGTGCAAGGCGCTGCAGAGCCTGCCGG